TGTCTTTTCAGGAAAGAGAGGGTCATAGGGAGAGGGAAACTGTGGTTATATGTGTAAGGGCTGAAGAACAAAAATCCTTAAACCTAGTCTAGATTATAAAACCTGAATTAAACACAGGCATTGCTGGGGGCAAAGGAAAGAGACAAAGAAGAGAATAAAAACAAATCCATGTACAATTATAACATCTTGTGTGACTCATTTTCCTCTTTTACCTGAAAGGGTGTAGAGTGATGTAACTGTACTCTGAGGGCCACATGTCACGGGGGGCCCAGGGTGCTCCCTGCCCAGGTACTGTCTTCCCACGGTTTTCCTGTGATTGCTCCTCTCCGTGCATAGGTAGCGCTCACCTGGCCACTAGCATGGTGCTGATATTTGTTTCTGTTGGCCATCGGGCTTCCTCCCCTGGGAGACTTGGTCCGAGCAGCCCACTGCATTGACTTGGAAGGCACCTGGAGTGTGACTACCCAGCGTGGCACCCACAGGTGCCCTTCCCGCTGATGTCCTGTTCAGGGGTCTCCCATCAGAAGCAGCTCTGCTCCTGTGAGCTGCTCTGCCAGGACCTGGCCAACCTGAGTCCAGGCTCTGTGACTGGGATCCATGCCGATCCTCCCTCCATTGGCTGCGCACATTCTTTAGGTCTTAATGGAAGCCCAAGCCTCTGGCATCCCTTCTTTGTGCTTTAATATCAGGCATGAATCCTCCAAGATTTGGGGGAAGTCAAATTAAAAACAAGTAAGTGACTTTCTAAGTCTTGACTTCTTTATCTGTTCTATGAAGAAACTCACAGCTAAGTAAAACGCAACTTGGTTGGAAAGCTTCATGTTTTTGCAGCAGGCTACTTGTGAGACGGAGATAAATAAGAAGTCTTTCGCAACCTAACGGTTAGAAAGCTCCTGTCCCACCTCTGCCTGTTCACCTGGTCTCATAAACTCCCTCTCCACCATCACAGCACTTTAGGCTGATGGAAATGCTTTCACAGAGGCTGTGCACAATCTTCCGATGAGCCTGTAGAGTTGGTAGGTTTCCATTTTCTCCCCACTTTATAGCGATGAAAATGAATACTTAGCGTTTTGTAAGTGACTTGCCTCAAATCCCCAGCTTGTAAGCAGAGCCAGTTCTGAAACCCACAGATTCTGGCTCAAATCCTCAGTCCTTGTCCCAGGGCCCACAGCACTGAGGTCACCGATGACCCAAATGATAATCTAAATGATGCCTCTGAGGCTGGACAAGATTCTTAATCTTCAAAGAGTGATTCTGTTTGATCTTCCATTGCATTGGCAAAGTGGGTTGGAAGTCTTCAGGGTCGCCCTCCTACCCCAACAGTCAGAAATAAAACAACACTGGTTACAGAATTTTCCATTTCCTAAACGTTCCCATAGTAAAGTCTGTGCCCTACTCATTCATAAAGCTGTACAGAAATTTGCCATTTGGAGGAAAGAATAGAAGAGTTGTCAGAGAAACTTAAAAGAGCATATAGTAGGAAATAAGCAAAACCATCATACATTATAATCCTGTTTCTGTCTCCAAGGAGCAAAACTTGAAAACAGATGCCTATGGCTTTAAGAGAAACAGTCGTATTGGGAGAACATTACAGGTGCATAGGAAAAGTATGGTTCCCATGCTTTGGTTTAGGATGATCCCACAGGCCTGGGTCTGCTTCCAGTGGCTTTTGGGGTGTGTGATATCTGGTATTATTATTTTGTAGGAATAATTCAGGCAAGAAAGCACAGGCCCCTTCCAGGGAATCTTTGCACCGTATAAAGCAACCATCACTTCATCTTGGTTTCAGGGACAGCGGGGAGTGGACTCAGGGTCACTGCAGAGGACCTTCTCTGCCCTCCCCTCAGTTTCCCTTTCCTTCCTCTCTGGCATGTCTATTTGTTCCTAGTTAGGCACCATCACTGTGAACTCTCGATTAATAGAGGGGGCCTTGGTCACCCCTCCTTGGTCCGGCAAACTCTAGTGGCGAGAACTGAGTACTATGGTAAACAAGCTGAGTCAGTTCCCCTAGGGACCCTCAGTTCTGCGGTGTTTCCGTCTTGCCCAGTCCTACCTAAGACATCGGCTGATGATCCAGAAGTAAGGGCCCTGGGAGATCTTGCTCTGCCATTTTCAGTATGGCCAGATCTGTGGGTGAGTTTTCTTCAGTCGTGCTTATTACTAAAGTGTTCTCTTCAAAATCAGCAGTCATCTCTTAAGTACCAATCCCGTCTCCTCCCTCCGTTTTTCACCTTCCTTGACATCTTGTGGTGGAGAACCCTGTTGGGAGTGCCCGTCTTGATTACCCTCCTTCCTCTTGGTGGGGTTCTTTAACCTCCACCCCACTCCCTCTTCCTTCTTTCCTCTGACCTTGGGTGTGTGACCCTAAATTTTACTCCTGGTCCTCTTGTCACCTCTCTCCTCTCATCATCTTGTGGTAAATCCACCAACCACTGCTTAAATATCACCACGCCACAAATGCCCCTTGAATCTGAGTCTCAAGGCAGGTGGCTTTTCCTGGCAGCCGGCAGTGCACCACATGAAAATGTGAGAGCTGCACAAAGATGCCAACCTCACAAATGAAACGGACCCGCTGAGGCCTGCAAGCATGCCCGAGGCCACAGCATTCACTGTGGTGGAGAGCTTAGCACTTTGCACCAACTTGCCTTCCCCTCCATCTCTTCATAGGTTCAGGAGTCAAACTGGGCTGCTTTAAACTCTCTTTCCTCCTGACCCTGTGTCTAAGTTTACTTGCCTGTCTCCCAAGCCCCATCTCCCCTTCTTTTGTCTATCAAACCCTATCCTTACTACAGCATACGTAAAATACTGGTGTCTCTCCATTTCCTTAAAACAAAAGGAAACTGGAATTAATATGAGCAAATGGAAAGATGGAATCAAAGCCTTTGTATGAGACAGGGAGAGATGGAGGGGTTGAAGGGAGGGCAGGGGAATGGGGAAAAAATGAGAACCAAGATGCATAATGTAAAGGTGCAAATGTCCAATGATGAATGACATTATACTGTATACCTTAAATGTACCGATAAAATTTATTAAAAAAAGAAAAAAGATTACAGGTCCACCTGGGGGGGGGACCCCAATAATCGAAGTGATGCTGGGATGGATGAGGAGTGGGGCCTCCAGCGTCCCAGCACCTCAGGGTGCTCTGTGGGACCTGCTCACGAACGTAAGGGGACAAAAGCAACATGCTTAGCCTTTCTGCTACCCACTTCTCCTTGGCCAATATTTAGTAAAATCCAAAATATCTTTAGTTGACCACATGTCAAAAACTTAAATGTGCTCTGTAGGAAAAAATTCAAGGAAAACTTTTAAGCCATTCCTTTCAAATCCCACTGCAAAACAAGTCCAAAGTATCCTCTGGTAGTTTAAGAGGCATAACAGCTTTGACCCAGTTAAAATTCCTTGGATGATGACATCTTTTAGGCTTCAATGAAAACTTTTGGTTTAAGGACACCAATTTTATTACCGAGATGAATCAGCCCTCCTCTCCTTGCACTTACTCTGCTGCCCCTGCTTTCCACTGTGCCCAGCATAACGTTGGGATATTCTCAGGGTTCCACGAATTCTCTTTCATTCTGGGTAAATTTCAGTTAGAATTTCATGTTAAATGTAACTATGCTTGAAATGTTTTTTATACTTTTATATTCTTCCTGTTATCAAGATATCCTGAAGAGGAAAATCAAATGGGAACCCAGGAACTCGTGTGGGTAAATAACACTGCATGCGTTCTGATGACCAGTCCACAAATGAATATCTCCTTTTAATTTGCTCATTTAATGTACTCCATTTAATTTAATCACCAGGGATCCTGAAAAACGATGCTAGTGGCACATGACATTCTATTTTTAGGCCTCTTAAAGCTACAAATGTGCTTAGGCTGCTTTTATGAGTTGCAAGGAAAAGCCATATTTAGTGGGAATTTGAATACAGATCATCCCCAGTTTATGATGGTTAGACTACTGATAATTTTTTTTTTAACTTTATGGTAGGACATAGATGACACACGTGCAGTAGAAATCCTACTTTGAATCCCAGAGTTTGCTCTTTTCCTGGCCTGGAGACTCCTTTGTGATACGAGTCACACGGTGGATCCTCTGACACGAGCGGTGCTGCGGAGCCAGGATTGTGGGAGGTTTGGGATCTCAGATGCACTTTAAACTTCCATTTCTTCAATCCTTTGATGGGTTTGTCGAGGCACAGCACCACTGTAAGTTACGGAGCTTCTGTACTTGCATTTAACGTTGCACACAGTGGCTTATCAGACTCAGGTTGCCAGGCTGTGGCCATCCTTACACCTCCCTCCACTCAGATCGGGGGCAGGGAGCCCAGACTCCCACGCCAAGCTTCCGCATGACCCCTGGCTGTCATCCTAGCTGGCAGACCTGTGAGAGCCCGACTTGTTCTCGTTACTAGTACAACAATCCCACATGTGTGATGTAAATAAGGGGTGATTACGACGATTGGATAAGGCATCAGCAAACCATCCCGTCTCACTCTAGACTTGCAATGGAAGTAGCTCTGTATCCAAACTCTCAAGAGGGGCTCCTCCCCCACAGGCTACTTTATGGGTCATTAACCTTTCCAATGTAGGTGTCAAGTGTCCCTGTTTGAAATGAGCTAAGTTAGGGGAAGTGTCTGGTCACTGGAATATCATCGGTACCCACACATGGTGACACTTTATCATTAATCCTGGGAGTTCCTATTCATTCTTCGGAGGCTCTGATGATAGACGTTGTGTGAGGCTTTCTTTTTTGGGTGAGGAGGACTGGGGATTGGACACCCCAGACTGTGTTTTGGTTGTTTTGTTTTGTTTTTGAGATATTGCCTCATTATGTCCCTAAGCTGGCTTGAGCTTGCAGTGCTCCAGCCTCAGCCTCCCAGAGCGCTGGAATTACAGACCTGTGCTACCACAGCAGCTTGTGTAAGGCGTTACGCCACTGACAACTGACCAACCCATCTTCCTTGGCACTTTGACTTGTCACTACTCCCTGCCATTGACTTGTCACAACTTTTCTGATTCTTGGGAAGTCCTGATGGGAGCACAGTGGGAAATCACAGCTTGAACCTACTCCTGCTACAGCTACTTCCTTTGCTGACCTCTAAGCTCCATGCAGGGCAGGGACCCTGTTGGCCTCGTTCCTTTCTTGTTCCCTTGGACTGGACCCAGCTCATAGTAGGTACTCAGCATTAGCACACATCCCTCTGGTGCCTGCCCCAGCCCGGTCTTCTCAGCCCTTAAATTTCCTCTTCTAACCGCGGTGTTCTCTTAGGCTTCACACTTCTTGGCCCATCCTCTCCCCGGTCACATAAGACCCTTCGCTGTGGTACTGTGGCTTGGCTAAGACTGAGTCTCCCTCCCACACAGTACCTCCTGGGAGACGCCGGAGGGCCTTCTCCATTCATCCTTGGAAAATACATGCTGCTTAGGTGGTCTCAGAATTTTCTGGAGTGGAGAAGTTCTGCAAATGACCATCTCACTTCCTAGACTTCGGTAAGCATCCTGTGAGCACTAAGAGCTGCTCATCAGTGTCTTCAAATGCATGCATTTGGAAGTCATGCTCGCTGTTTTATTTGAAAAGTGATGAGTTTCTAGGATAATTTTAACAAACTTTTCTATTTTTTATCTGTACCTGCCCACAGACAAAATGAAGCCAACAGTTCCTTTATGAAACTTTTGGTTGCCAAGTACCGTTGAGACTTTCTGCTTATGTGGTGCACGCCCATTGTTAATTATACTGATTATTATCGGTGCTGCCACAAGAAGTGATAAGTCAAACTGGCTGAGAAGCTCGGGAAATCCCCATTTCAGGACAGAGAGGAAATCACAGCCTGGGCTTCAACGGACCTTGAGTTTCTTCTTGCCTTCCGGGTTCCCTCCCTGGCTTCCTTCCCCCACACCCCATCGCCCTCACACGCTGCTCAGGGTAAGTGACAGGAGGAGAGCCACAGTAAACGTGGGCAGCCGTTTTCCTCAGGGTCACGTGGCAGTCAGGATTTGAAGGGAAGGTGTGAAGGACGAAACGATGTAGAGCTCTATTATTTCATCTAATTCATTTATTTTTCCACGTAAGGAGAGTCTAGCCCGGAGTGGTGAAGGGATGAGTCAGGACTAGGACGGAATCCTGAAGGACGACGACTCCTCCAGATGGCGCCTGCACATGGATCGCAGGGCAGCTCTGGATTCTGCTGCACAGCCTGGCACTCAGGTGGGACAGGATCCATGGTGGGGAAGAGCGAATGGTGCTTTCGCAGGCTTTGAGCTTCCTGACTTCTAATGCGAGTTGTAAAAGTTAAACACCATTGGCCATTAGAAAAATGCAAATTAAAACAACACCGAGGGTGTCACTTTACCCCAGAAAGCATGGCCGACATCAAGAAGTCAAATACTAACAAATGCTGGTGAGGCTGTGGTAAAAGAAACCCTTCTACGCTGTTTGTGGGAATGTAAACCAGTATAACCATTACGGAAATCAGCATGGAGATCCCTCAAAGAACTAAAAGGAGAAATCCTATTTGAGCCAGTTATTCCCCTAGTGGGTATCTTCTCAAAAGAGTTGAAGATACCGTGTTATAGTGATCCATGCATACCCTGTTTATAGCAGCACAATTTATAACTGCTAAATCTTGGGAGCAGCTTATACACCCATCAACAGATGAATGGACAAAGAAAATGTGGTATTCACACACAGGGGAGTACTACTCAGCTATAAAGAAGAATAAATTTGAGTCATCTGTAGGATCCACTTTGAAAACATAGTGGTAAGTAAAATATATCAAACACACTAACATAAACATCCTATGGTGTCTTTCCTATGAGAAAGCCAAAGTAGAGATAAAGTAAAGAGAAAAATAAAAGATAGACAAAAGGAAACAGGGAGATAGATCTTTTGCAGAGGGGACCAGGAGATGGAGGGAAGACGGACTGGGATGGGAAGGAAGGAAGAATCAAGATGTGCTGTGTACCAAATACCCACAATGAAAACCGTCATATAATGCAAACATGTACAGTGCTGATAAAAGTAGAAGTGGAACTAGGGGGGGAAATGATACTTAGTTTAGGTATTGATGTAGCTTCCTAGTCATACCAGAATTCCTCTTGATTTTATTCAGCTACTTGATGACCACACCTCATCTGGGTGATTCTTCTGAAGGGTTTAATTACCTAATTAGCTTGGCTTTTTAATAGCAGCCTCCAAGGTTCCCACGGACTCCCTGCACCCTGATAAAGCTCAGACACTGTTAGATCAAAGGGGAGAGAATGGCCAATCAGGATGGTGAGGGTGCTACACCAAGAGGCACCTGTCCTTCAGTAATGGAGGAGCCTCAGTGGCCACCACATCAGGACAAATAGCACTGCAGCCTGGAGCCTCGGCCACTGGCCTGGGGCAGCCTTGAGGATGTGACACTCCGGGGACAGCTGTCCACGCAGGCCAGAGTCACGTTGCTTTCCAGGGTCTCCTGGCCCCTTCAGAGTTAGTTCTCCCTCTTGATCATCACGTGCACTACTATCCAGCATGCCAAAGAGCACGGCCAGCATCACCAGTCTTACTAACACAACGCTGAGCCGTACGCGTTCGTTTACGCGCCACTCCTCACAGATAATGCCTCACCTAAACGTACTGTGTGAAAAGACTCCAGTGAAAACGTAAGCTGTATGTCCTTGAAAGTGATAACACAGAAGTTTTCATGCTCTCGTAAAATGAGACTAGTAACACCTATTCCATGAGGCTTGTGCTTTTGTCTTAACTGGCCCATAGGAATCGTACATATTGTGGTGTGTAGGGTTACATTTTGATACATGTTTATACTTCGTGATGATCCAATCAGGAAGGGTAATGAGCATATCCATCACCTAAATATTTATCATTTCTTTGTGTTGGGAACATTCAACATCCTTCCTTCGATTTTGAAATACTAATGAACTTTTTAATCCTTTTTGGTACCAGGGATCAAACTTGGGACCTTGAGCCTGCAAGGCAGGTGGTGGAAACACTGAGCTAAATCCCCAGCCCCCATAATGAACTATTTTAACTACACTCCACTGTGGGACAGAAGCCTGGAACTTACTCCCACCAACCATATGATCATTGTGTCCAATTTTTACGCCTTGGTGATGCCGTGACAGCGTGTTCATTGTATGAAACATTGTATGTAACATCTTAAAACCAGTGGAAACATCTCCAGCTCGTGCAGTGGCAATTAAACTTCAAAAGAATTTCAAAATTTAAATGCAAGTAACTGGCTAAGATATGTGTACCTTACCCATACTTTTACTATAGTTTACAGTCATAACATTTTTAAAATTTTTTTCTTTTGAAAGACGCCAACCTAACAAAGGAGTTTTAGAAGCTTGATCAGCTCCATAAGGCTTTTTGAGGTAATCAAAAGAAGCAATATACTTATTTTTTAGGTGACTAAATGAACATTCGTGTATAAGATTTCAAATAATCTTGACTTTGAGCCTTCTAAATTCTTAGGGTAACATTTTACATTGTACCTTTTCATTAAATTTTACTAAAGTTTTATTGTAATCATCATCAGAATATCTCACAGGTATACTTAGATCTTACATGCGTAATCAAGTAAAACACTGTGAAGGAATCACTTTTTCTTGACATGCCTCCAGTGGCAACAGCTTTGAAGAAAAACATTTAGCAAGGGCTAGAAGAGAACCCATCTTCAGACATTTCCTGTACGAAAAAAAGAGTCTGAAATCCTTGAGTAATGGTCAAAAAAGGGGAGAACGTCCAGACGTGTTATGGTTTAAAGATTCTCCAAGAATATCATAAATTTGTTATTTCCGTAGCACTTAAGTTTCACCTTCAAAAGGATCAAGCGGATCTGTTACAGAGAGCCATGCAGCGATGCATGCATCTTTGAGCGTGTGTGCTTAATGGAGGCCGTGGTGGGCCCCTCATGGGTGGACAAGGGCGCTCCACAGTAAATCAGTGGGTTTTACAGATAGGCACAGACCCCTTCTGGTCTCAGCCTGTGGAGGTCGAGTCTCCACTGCAATCCTGTGGAGAACCTGATACACCAAGAGCGTCTTCCACAGCTTGCTTCAATGTGGCCGCCCGCTTTCCCTGGAAGCCTCCGCCAGCTGCTCACAGGCTGTGTGTGGATGACCAGCCTCCAGCCCATCTGAGGGGCCTGACTGCAGGGCTGTGCAGGGCCTGCTGATAGCCCGGCCTCTCTTGAGAGAGAAGGAAGGATGTGGTCAAACTGTTGAGAAATTGCTTTCCAGATTGAAAGGACAAGCCGGGATTTTTCTACGGAACGGGGTGTACATCGTTATAGAATATAACAAGACTGCATCTTAGTCCTCCAAATCTGCTGGTCAATTTTCCACTCCCTACCCTTAAAAATGACAAAAAACGAATGGAAACGTGAGAGGAAGGCTGGCTAAAACTGCCAAAAAAAAAATGTAAAGAAACTCCCAAATCACAGGATAGTTTCTTTTGAAAACAGTAAGCATATAACACTGTGTTAGGGGCTTTGCACACACTCACTGGCTCTGCTGTCTCCTTGGGAATTCTGTTGGCAACAGGAGAGACTCAGGTATTAACAGGCAAACACTTTCAGGGCTGCACGATCCATCAAGGGCGCATGACTCAAGGTGCTGGCATGGCATTTTAGTGATGGTGACATTTCTGGATATCTGTGTGACAGGAACTGGATTCTTCGGGCTTCGGGGGTGCTGTAAATGGAGTCACAGACAAGACACAAGACATCCAAGTGGATGTAAATTTGGTATCAACAAAAGTAACTTTTAAATACAAGAATGTCCTGTACCGTGTTTGGAGTATACTTACGCCAAAACAGGATTCAGTGTTCATCTGAAATCCAAATCTGATCGCTTCTCGGCCTTTTGGCTAAGATCAAGTGAAATCCAAATCTGACTGCATGGCCTGTATTTTTAGCAGCTGAGCCTGCTGATGCTCCCTGGCCCTGTTCATTTGTTATTGATGAATCCCTCAGGTCTCTTACACATTTTTTTTCCAGCTCATGAGTGTCCCCCATACCCACATAAGCACAGCGTCCTCCAATTTCCTCTTCCTTGCTTTGGCCTCTGCTTCTGGAGGCCATGAGCTGGTGACTCTTTGGATACCTGGAGGCCTTGTGCATGTACTTCTATAGTGCATTACTACCCACACCATTTTCCTTAGAAGCTGCTCCAGTTTCATGTGCCATTGCCCTACACTCATGGTTTTGGATTATGAAGGGCCCCTTTTAAATTGGCAGCAAGAGCTTTGGTGTCAGAGATGAAAGCTCTTTGCCAGGTGTGCTCTCTTGGTAGAACCAGTTTTGGAGAGCTAGCTTTCTCTTTACCTTCTGTCCCTGAGCCTCCATCAGGGACTTCTTTTATGCACTTCCTGCCTCATTTCCTCGTTTAAGTTCATTGTCCCCAGTATTTTGTTACAGTGATGGAAGGGTGGCTAACACAAGTATGTTCAGAGAACTAAAAGAAATCATTTAAAAAACATTAAAAGAAAAATTGAAAAACCAGAAAAAATAAGAAAAAACATAATTAAAGATTTATGAGGGGAAAAATGTATATTAACTGTAGCAACATATGCATACCATGAGTTTTAAAAGGAGAGAGGAAAAAAAGAAAGAATATTTGAAAAGTAATGGCTGAAAGCCTACTAAATTTGATGAAACACATTTATCAACACATGACTCAACAAAATCCAAGTGGGATGAACCTGAAGATAAACTCAAAGATATCCACGTCTATACACATCATAGCCAATTGCTGAAAACGGGAGGCAAGAAAAGAATCCTGAGAGCAGCACGTGGAAAACACAACGCATCAATATGAGAGATTCTTGCCGAGATAACTGGACTTGCCATCAGAAGGAGCAGAAGTCAGAGGAAGAAGGATGGTATATTAAAGTGCTGAGGATGGGCAGGTAGAACCCACTGTCAAAAATTCCATCTACTGCAAGTATGCTTCAAAAATGAGGGAAACATTAGGGCATTCTGTGTGAGCAAAACCAAAATTTGTTACTGCAAACATGCTCTATGAGGAGTACTAAAAAAAGTCCTTAAGGCTGAATTGAAAAGATACCAGATGCTAACCTGAATCAACGTGAAGTAATAAAGAGCATTAGTAAAGAAAAAAAAAAAAGAGCACTGGTTTAAGATAGCTACATAGTAACTATAAAATATGGTAGACATGTATTTTGAGGAAACTCTTTGCTGTCAACAAAGCAGATATTCCACAGGAAATAGACAACTTTCTAGAAAGATATAAACTACCCAAAGTACTCAAGGAACATAAAATCTGAATAGACCTATAACTGAATTAGCAATCTCAGAACCTCTAACAGAAAAAGCCTGCTCACTTAAAGTGGTTCTTTCC